AGGCTGAGGGGAGATCTCATTGCTCTCTACAGCTTCCTCAGGAGGGGAGGTAGAAAGGGAGGTCCTGAGCTCTTCTCCCAGTGATAGGACATGTGGGAATTGTTCAACACTGTACCAGGAAAGGTTCAGACTGGACATTAGGAAGTATTTCTTTACCAAGAGAGTGGACGCACACTGGAACAGACTTTCTAGAGAGGTGGTTGATGTCTGAAGCCAGTCAGTGTTTAAGAGGCAGCTGGATAATGCCCTTAACAAGCTTTAACTTGAGGTGAGCCCTGGAGTGGTCACGCAGTTAGACTAAATGACCGTTGTAGGACCCTTCCAACTAAAATAGTTCCATTCTGTAATACATTACATGATTAAAAGCTGTGGCACTAGTGTCTCCATGATGTAATGATATCCAAGAGGATAAAGGAAAAGAAAATGTTCAAGTGGAGACTGTGGATGTCAGTCACCACGAAATATAGAAGTAACATTGCTATAGACTGGAGTTCATGCTTTTGCAGGCCTGCAACGTGTATTGCACATCTTCCATCAACTGTGTAAGGGAGGAAGAAGTGGAGTTGATGAAGAGGAAGCTGAGAGCCAGTGGTCGGTGAAGAAATAGCTTTAGGTGATCATAGAGGCAGTGGCTTGACATAGACACAGTGCCATGCTGCAGGCTTTATTTTGTAGCAGTGAAGACACCAGATAGGAGGTTACCACTGGAGGGGATGGCCAGAATTAAGGCAGGTTTTGGTTATTTTGCCTTTCTCTAAAAATGCGAAGTTTAAAGTCTTTGCTTATTCCTTGTAGAAAAATTGTTAATCTTGATAAAAATGACTACAAAAAGTTGTTGCCTACTAAACTGAAGAGGAGATCAATACAAAAAGTCCTGGGTTTCTCTTACCTATGAAGGAGATGTAGAATCAACTTCTTTGCAGAAGCAGAGGGATGCTTTGACCTTAGGGCAGTGGTACCCAAGAGGAGAGTCATTCTCAAGGACCATAATGTCAAAACACACCTTCCTTTTTTAGGTACCTCACAGATGGGACACCACTGACACCCTCAGACCACTCTTTAAGTGGAACACTGAATTTCAGTTTTTCTGGTCTGTCCTGTTCTGGCTGCCTCTTTTAGCAGATTTGGGATTGTAGTGATTGTAAGGGAGTTGCTGAAACTGGTAGCCTGATGGTGAGGAAATTGGGTCTCTGACTGGGTTTTTGGGGTTCTCTCCCCTCCACTGGTGTGTCTCTGGGCTTGTGGCAGTCGGTGTGTGATGGGCTGAGTGCTTTCCTGGGATGGAGCTGAGCGTTACTGAGATTCCCCTGCCTGCTCTTCTTCCTTTGTGCTCCTTCATATGTCTGTGGAGATGAGCTGCTTATCCTAAAACCTGACTGTATCCTTGACAGGATTTAGATGGCATAAATGTGGGGAATGAGATGATGAGTGAGGTGTAAACACAGTATGCCAATATTGACTAATGCAGCAGTTGCTCCACGCTGTATATTTTTCAGTTTCATGTCCAGAGAGTGTTTGGCAGCAGCCAACTGGCTGGTAAGCGTTTGCGTGCTGGCCAGCCGTTGCATGTGCCTTGGGTGGATGGTCCATGTGCCCTGAACTCCAGAGTAGCCACATCAAGGGAATTCAGTCATCCAATGGGTATTAATGGGCAGTGTGGGGATCGGGGAGGAGCACTGCTTTTCTGATTAACCTGATAATGTTGATGATTAACTAAGTTTTTGTAAGGTTTCTGACAGTGTGGTATTTCTTTTTTATTCAGATTCCTTTGGGACTCTTATTCTTCCAGTAGTAAGTATTTCTTTCCTCCTTCCTCAGAAAATGTTGACTCTGTAACTTTTCATCAGTTGGTGTTGATGAGATGATGTATTTTGTATGTGATCCTAGCTATTTTCACATTCTCAGATGAGTATTCACTGACCAATAAGCCAAGGAGTTTTCAGATCAAGTGCTCTGGAGCTTGTTAGAAGTGATTACAGGGCTTGGGAGCTGACTTTCAGCATCAGCACAAGCCATCATTGAGCACAAAACTTCACTCTGTGGTTTTTTTGAATAGCTGGTATCTACATCTTTATTCCAGACACACCACAGGGGCAAATTAGAGCTGAAAGAATTGTGCAAGGCAATAACTGAGAAATATTGAAATAAAAATGTACTTATACAGTCTTCTTAAGGATTTGAAAATGTATGTTCAGGGAAAATGCATAATAACCAAACTAGCCAACAAAAATGTATAATATTGAATTGTGTGTTGAACATGAATCCTGAGTTTATAATCCTGGATGTTCATCTTGAAAACTTGATCTAAAGAATTATGTATTTGTGCTAGAAAAATGTTTTATCCAAGTCTTTATTTTTTAAAAAAATCTGTAAGTCTGAGTATCCAGTGGGTTTATATTCTGATCTCGAACTGTCTATCTGATGAAATAATCTGGAAATGTTAGATGGATGGAAAATCAATGCCAACAAGCAGCTCGAGGTTATGAAGGCTACTGGGTTATGAAGTTGACTGGGTACAAACTATAAATTAGGAAACAAAGGAAATAAGAAGTTCCTTAATATAATCTGGCTAGGTCTTAAAATATTCAGGCAGCTAGAACCAGGCAAGTGAATTCTTCCCTCTCTCACCACTATCTAAAGTGATGAAAATTACTAAGTTTTTAGTAGTAATGTATTTTTTTCATTCACGCAGTCATGGTAGACATGTTTTGCCCAAAGCATAGTTGGCTGGTAGCACAAGGTGCGTGATGACTCGTGTTTCAGCTGTCATCTTTTCCAGAGGAAACAGTAGCTTACTTGTCTGAGGTGCTGGTGTGATATATGAGATGGCCTTTTTCTCTCTTACTTTAGGAGTGCCAAAATGGGGATTGCAATACCATTCACTCAGAGGTTATATTGACTAAGATAAAATATTTTCACAGCTAGTTCCTACCAGCTGCTGTTAAAAGCTGCCTAGCTCATATCTGGGTTGAGGAACAACCTTTCAAATGAGGAGGAGGAGTTGATGGGGCAGGGACCTGCTGGAAGTGTTGGATTAGTGCAGTCTCTGTTAGCACCGATTGTGAATCAGAACATGGGTTACTTTGCTGTCCTGATACACTGCCATGGCAATGCATACTTCCTCGCCTTTGGCTTTTGCATCAAGAAAGGTGCAACAGGCAGTTTTGTCACTGTGTTGCAGGAAGGAAAGATCTTTTGAAATATAAAAAATGTAAAAAACAAGGGAGCAACCTGTGCCATCGAATTATTCATGAGAGGAAGAAGGTATAGAAAAATGAGTTCTCTAAATGGCATTTACAGACTTCTGAAGAAATCAAAGACAATCTTTGCAAATATGTTAAAATAATGCTGTAAGAGCACAATTCACTGCTGTATGGGACAAAACAAGACTATTTCCCCTTTTTTTGATTTTGAATGTTTATAATATTGCTTGTAGGGAATCCTATCTGCTTTTAAGGAATACACCTTCTTTAATAAGTGGTAGTATTTGTAAATTAATTAATTTTGAGGTCATATTTGACAGATGCAGTGACTAAGGCCATTCCTTCTACTTAATATATTCCAGAATATTTGGCTTAAAAGTTGGAGAGTGTTGAAATATGTGAATCATATGTTCTTGGCCACGTGCATAGAAAAACCTGCAGCTGAAGAAAATGCAGAATCTATTTGTGTGGAGCTTTGCACCTAAAATTGAGTTATGTAATTTCAGCTTTTAAAGGGGGAAGCTCTTCTTCCTGTGTTGTCATATGCCTGCTCATGGGTGAAGAAGAGAGCCTGTTTGTTTTTCCCCTTCCAGATTTCTTTTGTCGTCTGGCTTGTTTTTAAAAACAGTCAGCAGAGAGGGATGAAATTATGGTTGATTCTTCTTTATAGGTAAACACACAGAGAAAGAAACATATTCGATATAGACATTTGCAGCTATTTAATTTGTCTCCCTGTGACATTTTTCACTGGAAGTTTCTGTTACCTTGCTGTGTACTCTTAAAGTGAGTTTTGACAGCATGACAGCCCTTCATTATAGAGCTTGGTAGGATATTTTTGAAGTGCTGTGCCTAATGAGTTAACAGCTGTAATTTCCATTACCTCTGCAAAAAGAGCGCTTCGTTTCCATACCTTATGCTGAAAAATGCAAGCCTATCTGGTTTAGTTGTCTTGACTTCAGACGTTTTTACTTCAAATTTACTGTTGTAACTGCAAACAGAAGCACGTGACTCTTAAGCTTTTTAGCAGGGCTGCTTGTTGGAACGGGCTGTGTGTCGCGTTAAAACCCTTTTACTTCTTCAAAGAGATACTTCTAAGCAGATGGCGCTACAGAAGCCAGCAACTGGGCTGGGGTGTCCCTCTGGTCATTCGTTGTCTGCACAGACTCTGCTTGAGGTGAAATTCCCGTGTGCTGCAGCACCTCTACTTTGAGCCTTTCAAGCCCTGTGACTGGGAGTCCTCCCACCTAACCTTAGGAAATGAGCTGATGCATCTGAATGATGAGCTCCAGATTGCCTCTGTCCACTGGAGAGTCAGAGACCTGTGCATGGTTATTCTAATTTTACATGATCTAAATTTCCTTGCCAGTGATATCTCTCTGTGTTTACTGCCAGCACTGAAGGAGCCTTTAATGTTAACTTCAGTAAGTAGACCATATAAAATGTCTCTTCCTTTGTTCCTTAATATTTTTGGAAGAATAATTGTTTTATTTTCCAGGTGAGTCATGATATGTTCTGTAATTATGAATCACTAAACTGAAATGAGACAAAACAAGTGAGATTTGAAACACAGCACCCCACCTCGTGAGATCTTCATTCTGAATTGAATTTTTCTATCCCATAGGACATGAAGCTTTTTCTTACTGTCCTGCTCAACTTGTCTGGGCATAGCTTCTTCAGCTTTTTTTTTTTTGTAAAATTTGTTAACAAAAAGTGATGAAGTCGGGAAAAACTTAGCCCCCAAAATCAAACCCGAGAAATTTCCATGTGATGGAAAAGAGAGAGCACAATGTGTGTGTGTGTGTGTGTGCGTGTGTGTGTGTGTCTATGAATGGTGTATGAATACACAGATGCGTATATTGTTGAAAACCTGATTACTACTGAAAATGAGATGTAAACGTATTGGAAAGATCCTGCTGCTAACACATTTTCAGATAATTGTTGAAATGACACTTTAAAGTCCTGAAATTCTTTCTCTTTTTTTTTTCTTGTTTATTTCCGTTGACAATTTCAGAAATGTGCCAGATCTTTATGTCAAATGTTTTTTTGAATAATATCTTCAAGAATATTTTGGATAGTTGATAGAGAGTCACTGTTCTCTTTTCAGCTGCCTTTAAACAGTGCTTCTGGGAATTATGAATTACTGGTAGAAGGCCATGCTGATGGCCGGCGCATCTTCTCTAACCGTACCAGCTTGATGTACATGGCAAAGAGCATCTCCGTATTCATTCAGACTGATAAATCTATGTATAAACCGGGACAAGATGTGATGTTTCGGATTGTCACCGTCTATCCTGATCTCAAGCCTTACAAAGCGTCTTTGAATATCTATATCCGAGTAAGTATCCGCAGGAACCTAGTTATACACTAGAATTTGTCATTTGTTCCAAGTTCATGTGACAAATAAAGATCATGTGTATTGCTACCTAAATCTTGCTAGTAAGACCACTGGCATTTAACATGCAGCCTAACTTTTCTCCTAGGACCCTCGGAAGAAATTGATTCAGCAGTGGTTGATGGAGGAGGGTGATTTGGGTGTAGTTTCCAAAAAATTTCAGTTATCGGTGAACCCTCCACTAGGAGACTGGTCCATAGAGGTGGAACTGAACGTGAGTATTAATATTGCCAAATCACAGAGAGATTTAATTTCTCCTGATAAACATGAATATAACTGTGTTTACTTTGGTGAAGCAAACCCAGAAATTAGCACAGACCATGAGATGAGAAAATCTTTCCCTCATGGCAAACGTAAAATATGCAAACCTCACAAGATTTTCAGTCGTATATAATTTTGTAAGGGAAGATATAAAAACCCCCATGCGTACATATTTTAGGTATGTATTTTTTATTTTTATTTTGATTCTAAAATACAAATGTTATTTAAATAAGTGAGGGTTTTTAATACTTCTGTGAAAGAAAGATCTTTTGGAGTACTGTTTTTTTAAGTGAACTGCCCTTATGTTTATTTTGTAAGCAAATATACAGAAATTCATTGTGCTGTGCTGTGCAGCCAGTCGCTGTCTCAAGGGGTGTGGAATCTAAGACTATTTACAAGTCTCTGCCCAGTTCTAGGGGTGTTTCAGCAGTTCACAATGACTGAGGTGTTACTGAGGAAAAAATAACTGCAAAATAGGAAGGATGAATAGTAAAGCAGAACTGTTGCATAACAAAACTGGTATGATCTAGTTTGCATGTTGCTCTTGGTAATAGTTCTATCGGTCCAATCCTTTAAGCTGGACAGTCCTCGTATGCTGTGGAGTATGTTGCAAAAATAGCTGGAAGTTTAGCTGTTCAAAACTATGTGTTGAGTTTATTAAGCCTGCTTGAAATGCCTGTAATTTGGGAACTGCGTTTCCGACTCGGCTTGCAGTGGCTGTTCGGAGGCATTTAGCAAGTACAAACAGGACTACTTAATGTTCCCTAATGAGGGAGATGATGGGGTAGAAAGCTGAAAAACTCATGTGAACATGTATTACTTGGAAGTAATATTTACCGGTACCAGTTATGTGCTTGATAGATTTCTATAGGCTGAGGTAGGTGAGGGTGGTGCTCAAGTGAGTGTCATGACTGGATTTTTTCAACACATTCTCATGTGGGTGTGGAGTTGTTACTATTGTCTTTGATAGAAGTGGTTTAGGTTGTTCCTGCTCTTGTCCCTGTGCTTGGCTGCTCCTTCTCATCCCTGTGCTACTGTTCAATAGTTTCCCAGTAACGCTGAGGCAGCTGTAGTAAGGCTGAGATGTAAAGAATGCTGGGGAGGTCACCCGGATTGAAAAGCACCTCTGTGTTTTAATTTGCCTAACCCAGACCTATTCACTGATCTGACTGACAGCTCAGCCCCACTTAGAGCTGTATAGGTGCTTTTCAGGCAGTGACAATGTGTGGCTCAGGCATAGGAACAGAGGCTGGTGGCAGTGGTGGTCTCCTTCAACAGGTCACTTGTCAGGCAGAAAAGTGTTTGTGAAGTTTTGCTCGGGCTCTCTACGAAGTCTTGAGTAATCCTGAAGTCAGGAGGATGCTGCTGAAGGAATGGCAGTAGCTGTTTTCAGGATCTGAATATGTATGCCACTCCCTCCTGAAACAAAATCAAAAAGTAAAGGAAAAAAAAGGTAGTTGTAAAACTGAAACCAAAGTGCCATATAGATTCATCTGGGCTGATGAAATAGCTAGAAGAAAACAGACAAGTGAAGTGAAATCTATCCTGGGTTTTAGCTATTCAGTACTAATACAGAAGTTAATGAACCTGGAAAACATATGACAGGGTGGGAATGTCTCTAGTGGCATGAGTAACAAGGAGAAACTAAGTAGAGAACACTCTGTTCACTGTCTCTTTCAGTACGTAGCTAGAGGGCACCAGCTGAAGGATGTAAGGAGTAATTTCAAAATAATAAAACAGCATAACTGGACTGTAGAGCACAACGCTGGCAGAGGTTGTGAATACTAAAAACCCGTGCGGGATTAAAAAATGTCTGGACAAATTCACAGGAGTGCACTCCACTCAGAGCTGTTAACTAGAAAACCCTGAGGCTTGACCTTGGCACAGTGTCACTGCTGGCTACTCTGGTTGATGCAATTCTCTAGGTGTTCAACCTTGGGTGCTGCCAAAGACTGGACATTGGTCTTCATGTTAGATCTGCCAGGGTACAGCCTTTCCTATGTTGTCTTTATCATATTTCTATCTCATTTTCTCTCCTATTAAATTTTTAATACTTAGGGTTTTAGCATAAAGTGTTTGGGGTTCCTAACAGAGCCCAAAATGCTTGGGTGACATGAAGAATATCCAGGGCCAGGGACTCATCATTCTAGGATATCTCTGTTCACCACCATAACAATGAGAGACAATTCAAGGTGGAAAGTGTTGCAAAATGCGTTTGATACATTTAACTAAGTGCTCTCTTGGGTAAAAGATAAACTTGGTGTCACACTCTGCCCAGGAGGGCAGCAAAAAGTGACTTAGATTTGTAATTCCCCAATGGAGTGGACAATAGTGAGACAAATCTCAAGATCCATATGCAAACATTTATTAATTTCTCACAGCGTATCGATCAGACTCACGATAATAATTGGTTAAGTTACAAGACACATTAGGGTAGGTAATACACTAGGACTTCCTGCTTAGCCTTATCAGATTCCTCTACTACCTTCAATTTGGCACTTATCAGTTTGCTGCACAGGGCCAGAAACCGGTCTCATTTTTGACTAAGAAGTGTTTAAGGCAAACATTTGCACGTCTGTCTGCTACGCTTGCGCAGAACAGAAGTGGGATTCATCTTCTCATTGACAGAGAAACTGGTTAATATTTAAGAAACACTGCATTTCAAAAGTGGAGAAAAGAGGAACTAGGAGATAGGTATCAATATAAATGAAAGTCATAACTCTTGCATATTTTTAGGAAATATAAAGATCCCAAGGAAAACAAGTTTGTCAGGAAAAAAAGAGAAATTTCAGCTCTGGCAGAATCCAGTAACTTGAGCAAAAGGTAATTATGTGGCAGAGATGGAAACATTTAATAGGGGTCATAATGGTTCTGAGTGGTGAAGTGAATCTCGTTATGCATAGATTTGAAAAGACCATCTGAAGATGAATGTCCTTAGCAGTAAAGGTAAGTGAAGTAACGTGGGAAACTATAGACCTGCCATCTGTCATGAGAAAAACAGTGACAAAGGTGATATGGATTTCCGCTGAAAAAGAGTTAAACTCTTCAAGGCTATTACGGATTTGGTTAGTAAGGTAGATATACTGATGTAACAGATTTTTCTAAAAGCTTTTCATTGTACAAAGCCTTAATGAAAAATAAAAGTCTATGTAAAGTCTGTCAAAAAAGGGTGAATTGATTTTGGGGCAATCGACACTCAGCCGGGCTGTTTTTAATATCAGCTGATGACAGGGCTTGCAGATGAAGCCAGGGATAAAAGCTCCCTGGTGGGAGACTGCAGAAATTCCATCTCTTGGCTGTATATCAAAGGATCAAATGAATTGATTGATTTATTGATTACAGTCTGTGAGTGTTGTTACAGGTTTTAAAAGCTGTGTTGTTTCTTTTGGGTTTTTTTTAATCTAGTTGAAAAAGGCATAGTATGAACCAATTAATAGAAGTTGAAGCCAGACAAATTCTCTTTGGCATATGTATGCCTTTCATCAATGAGGGTCTTAATCAGTGAAAAAAAACAGAAAAAATGAGAGTGAAGGCTTCTCTGTCACTTGATGTTTTAGCATCAGGAATGGTTGCCTGCTTGGAAGATGCACTATAATAATGCAGAAGGCTGGAGTGCTTGAATATTAGCGTAACCAAACTTAAGATAAAAGGAGGTCAGGGTAAATGGTTCCTTCTGACATTAAACTCTTTTAATTGAAAACTAAAATATAGGAAAAAACTCACGGTATATTATATTAAAAAAAAAAGAAGTTGTACGCGTTGGGGTCCAGGAAAACCTGTCTATTCTTACAGTGCTTATCATGTGGGAATAAAACAGCAACGACAAGCCTCACACATAGAAATTTCTGTTGTTTACTTTCAGACTCCTATTCTTCCATCGTTCACACCTGCTCTGCTTTAATTTCCAAATCTGATGTTAAAAGAATATAATGATAAAGCAATGTGCATTATTTCTGCAGCATGTGCTTATGTGGCATCTTACACGGGATAAGGCTATCATATGTAAAGTATATTAAATAACTAGGGCAATATTCTCTCTATTACACTAGATCTGTCTAGTGGGTCATCTCACAGGCTGTTATTTTTCTGTTAATATGTCATACTACTTGGATTATTGAAACCTGCAAGAAAAATGGCAGAATAAAGGAAAAGAAATGTTCTGATGGGAAACTCTTTCTGATTCTCTTGGTTACAAGTAAGCTTATACATTTCCATCATCTACTCAGAGCTTTAGGAACATCTTCAGATGACAAACCAAGGCTGACCTCCAAATGCCTTAGATCATGGAAAACTCGGGATAGCTGAGCTTTCTAGCTAAATCATCAGCTGTCTGGCCTTTGTGTATCAGGTTCCCTATTGTCTTGGAAGAGTGTTGTTAAGTCAGTAAATATAATCTCCTGTCTAGTGGTTACAGATCAGTTCCCAGGTGTACTGAGTTTGGATTCTTGGCAGTACTGCCACTGAATCCTGTTTTAAATCAGGTTCTGGCTGGTTGCTGCTGTTGAACATCCTGTAGTAGTTTTTATTAAGAGTTCAGGTGTTAGTACAGCTGTTCCAAAAAACTCAAGACAGAGTAATTACAGTCTGGTTCCCAAGTCTCCACCTTGTATTTTAGTTGGATATCTTATATTTCCTGTTGTGGAGCTTGTGGCTGAAAGGCTTTTTCGTTGCTGAATTTTATTAGTCGGTATCTCTGCCCAGAAGTTGTTCCTAGTTATAAGGCATTTTGTAATCTAATTTATGAAAGTTGTTATCTGGAAATTTATGCTCAAATGTTGAAGAGCAGTAATGTTTCAAGTGCGGTGAGGGCTTTCTAAAATATTTTTCACAGAATCATAGAATCAAAGATCAACCCCCCCGGCATGGGCAGGGACATCCCCCACTAGATCAGGCTGCCCAGAGCCCCATCCAGCCTGGCCTTAAAAACTTCCAGGGATGGGGCTTCCACCACCTCTCTGGGCAACCTGTGCCAGCGTCTCACCACCCTTGTGGTGCAGAGCTTCTTCCTAACGTCCAATCTGAACCGATCCATCTCTGTCTTTAATCCCTTCCCCCTAGTCCCATCACTAACGTACATCTTAAAAAGCCCCTCACCAGCTTTCTTGTAGCCCCCTTGAGATACTGGAAGGCCACAATAAGGTCTCCTCAGAGCCTTCTTTTCTCCAGACTGAACAGCCCCAACTCTCTCAGTCTGTCTTCATAGGAGAGGTTCTCCAGGTCCTCGTGGCCCTTCTCTGGACACATTCCAGCACGTCTTTCTTTTTGTAGTATTTTTTATGAGTATTATTTTTTTTTTAAAGCTTCAGCTGTAAGGCAACTTCCAAATTGATTATATACCTAATTTTTTTTTGAACTTTTGAGGTTTTATGTGTGTTACAGTGAATTCTGTGATGTTTTACTGCTAAGTCAGCTACAGATTTCATGTTTGTTCCATTAAGCTTGATGTTATATATGTCATTACTTAACGTGTCACCTTCCTTCAAAATCAGACTGTACATGAAACCTTTGGAATTTGCTGTGGATTCAGTAGTCTGCAGATGAGCACTGCTATTTAAACAGTATCTGATAGTGTGAATACTGGTAACACTGGTGGGACTCTGATTAGTTTCTGGATCTTAACATTAGTTTGGGAATTCATACAGAATTTTATTTCAGAGTTTGTTTCCTCCATGTGAGTATAAAGCGTGAAAGTGATGGTGAAATGCCTCTGTTAATTCTGTCTAGGTAAAAATCTGTTTTATTTAGCGACAGAGCAGAGGAGTGTTCCTGACAGGGGCCGTGAGGTGGTGGTGTAGCCACGGGAACACAGCTGGTGCCAGCACTGGGCTGGTGCCACCACATCCAGAGTCTTTCCTGATGCTCTGACTCATGACGCACGTAAATGTCAGAAACAAGTAAGAAAATAGACCTCGACTAGATTTGTTTCAGGGACTTCTGATTGCCAAAGAAGAAGAAACTGGGGAAGAGGGAAACAATTCCTGTGATCCCACTTGTTGGATTAGACCCGACTTCAAACAGGACTGTCTTGTCACAGCAGAGCAAAATCTGGGCTGTAGTTGTTGGTGATTCTTAAATGTTAGAATCCACAGCATCTGGAGCTCAGCAGCAGAAAGGCTTCAGCATCCTCATAATCTCAGAATACTTAAAAGGATCTCTTTTTGGTGCCTTTTCTTAATATGCTGGGCAGTGCGCACAGAATGTAGTAGATGTTTTGCGGTTTAAGAGATGATGATTTAGAGCAAAATGCTAATACTCTGGAAAGGTGAGTGTGCTTAAGAAGTAGAAGACGTAGAAGACAGAAGCATGCTAGAATAAAGCAACTCTGGAAACAAGTGGAGTAGGCATGGTGGTGTTTTCCTATCTTAAAAAAGAATAAAATAAATCTCTCCTGAGTTATATATATAACTAACTGTTTGTCTCAGAAGCCACCACTCCTGGAAACTGGTTTAACAACTTTCACTCCAAAACATTTGAGCAGTATTTACCAGTGATCCAGCCCTGCCCTGAGGAGCTAAAATGATACCGAGTGAAGTGCTGTTACTTGCCCTATTGCAAACCAGTTTGCCTGAGAAGTATTCGGTAGTGGAAAATCTGACTTGGTGTTCAAATCATCAGGATGACCTAATGGAGTCTTTTCCTTCTCTTGCACGGTGAAACATGGTTTGCTTTCGGTTGTAAAGGTTATTATTTTAGAGAAGGTGCAGCCAAGAGCACCAGTCTCACTTTAATCTGTTTTCTACTGCTTACAGTTCTCTTAGCTTTCAATTATTATTATTTTTTGGCTTCTAAAGTAGTGTGAAATAAAATCTCATTTTCAAGGGAGTTTCTTTTTCATCCTCCTACCTGGGGTAATGTTCTGTTCACAGTTTGTTTAATGGCAAGGGTGACATCTATATGCTTAACTTTGGAAATAAAAGTTATACAGAGAACCAGACATGAGATAAATTCACTACAGATCATATTCCTAAAATACTTGTTCTAAGATTACTTGATGGTAATCTAATTGTGGACTGCATGTCAGTGCTGTAGCATTTAGTGTTGTAAGGATGACAATCCCTGTATCAGGCATATCAGCTGAGATTCAGAACTCCAGTTCTAGGTACTGCTGGCAAGTTGCTTCATGCCATTTCCTTGCTGATGGCAGTTTTTGGTGTGATGCTGTAAAAAAATTGGACTGAGAATTATGTGTCTGCAGGCAAATAACTTACATGCTCGGTGAGAATTATAGAATCATAGAACCATTTAGGTTGGAAAAGACCTTTACGATCATCAAGTCCAACCACAAATCTGACACTGCCAAGTCCACTATTAAATCATGTCACTAAGCACCACATCTACATGTCTTTTCACAGAATCACAGAATGTCAGGGATTGAAAGGGACCTCAAAAGATCATCTAGTCCAACCTCCCTGCCTAAGCAGGATCACCTGCAGTAGGGCACACAGGAACTCATCCAAGTGGGTTTTAAATGTCTCCAGAGAAGGAGACTCCACAACCTCACTGGCAGCCTGTGCCAGTGCTCTGTCACCCTCACAGGGAAAAAGTTTTTTCTGATATTTTTGTGGAACCTCTTATATTCCAACTTGTATCCATTGCCTCTTGTCCTGTCATTGGACATCACTGAGAAGAGCCTGGCTTCATCCTCCTGACACTCACCCTTGACATATTTATAAAAATTCATGAGGTCACCTCTCAGTCTCCTCCAAGCTAAAGAGACCCAGCTCCTTCAGCTTTTCCTCATAAGGGAGATGTTCCACTCCCTTCATCATCTTTGTGGCTCTGCGCTGGACTCTCTCAAGCAGTTCCCTGTCTCTCTTGAGCTGAGGGGCCCAGAACTGGACACAATATTCCAGATGTGGCCTCACCAGGACAGAGTAGAGGGGCAGGAGGACCTCTCTCGACCTACTAGCTACTCCCCTTCTAATACACCCCAGGGTGCCATTGGCCTTCTTGGCCACGAGGGCACACTGCTGGCTCATGGTCATCCTGCTGTCCACCAGAACCCCCAGGTCCCTTTTCCCTACGCTGCTCTCCACCAGGTCAGTCCCCAACCTATACTGGCACATGGGGTTATTCTTTCCCAGGTGCAAAACTCTACACTTGCCCTTGCGTTTCATAAGATTTCTCCCCGCCCAGCTTTCCAGCCTGTCTAGGTCTCTCTGAATGGCATCACAGCCTTCTGGTGTGTCAGCCACTCCTCCCATTTTTGTGTTATTTTTATATACCTCTAGTGATCCTGACTCAACCACTTCCCTGGGCAGCCTGTTCCAATGCTTGACAACCCTTTTGGTGAAGAAATTTTTCCTAATATCCAGTCTGAGCTGTAATATGAAATCATTTCAGGTCAGAAATTGTAATTTAACTTAAATATGTGTGGCATTTGTCCTAGAAGTTATGTTAAGCTTGCTAATCTCACCACAACTATATGTATTTTCTCATATGATTTTTTTTTTTCAATAGGGTCAAGTTTATTATCAAAGATTTAGAGTGATGGAATATGGTAAGTGTTACTTAAGGGCAGTTACGTGAGGTAGTTGATTTTCCTTTAATTTACACTAGCATCCATTAGCTAGCACAACACTTCTGAATACTCCCAGGAAGTGTAATTCCTAAATCTCTTGCTTCCTGAAACTGACTCTGTGTCCTGGGAGAAACTGTCTTATCAGCTGCCCTGTTTATCTTTGGTAGCTTTAATGACCTAGTGCCGTAGTGTCTGGATGTCATGCAATCTTTAAAGTGCTTATCTGAAGCCTATGAGATGCAGTTACTGTCCCTGTTTTTCCGGAATCCATGCAAGCAATGTGTTCATTTCAAAACATCTGTGTAGCATCTGACCATGAAGCTTGCTGCTGATTCTGTAAAGGCTGAATAAGCTAAATGTTTCATATTTCAGTCTTAGAAGCTTGTGTGCAGGCTGCTGTTGTGATGCTTGTTGTTCTCCTTTCAACAAAAAGTCTTAGTCTGGAGCATGAGCAGGGTAGGCTTAAAAATATATCTTACCTGATATTCCTTAGGAAGCTGAGGTAGTTTTTATCGTATTACATGTTGAACGCTTATTACTTACAAAAAAATAATATGTTTTTCTTTCTTTTATGAATTTAATATTTCTGTAATTTTTTTTTTTAGTTTTACCAAAATTTGATGTTATGATAACAACACCATTATACTACTCATTGAGAGAGGAAGATGTAACTGGTGTTGTCACTGCAAAGTAAGTAAATCATTGATATCATTGTCACCTCACTCTTAAGAAAACTGTTGTGGGTCTCTAAGTGTCAAAGTGAAAACTTTTATCTAGAATGTTAAAGAAGTGCCTTCTAGTCAAAATTAGTTGGCTAGCATCTGTTCTAGTTACTGGGTTCTTTTGTAACAATGTTAGGTAGATCTTCAAACTTCTAGTGAGGCTAGTGAGGTTTTTTTGGTCTCGTAAAGGTATTTCTAGACTACAGCCAAGACATTTTTAGCTACCTTATTCAGAAAATTTATTGAGTCTTTTGTTTATAATATGGGGGGTTTAGGCTTTTTTTTTGTTCTTATGGCTCTTTCATGGTGCTGTCCAATGTATCACATCAAGGTCTGTAGGCAGAGTGACTATATTTTATCAGACCACTTAGAAAATTAGGCAACTTCTGTGCACATCCTTCTTAATCCAATTTATCCAAATTGTGAATTTGAAATATAGGCTTCTCCTGCCTGTCAAAATACCTATACTTGTAAACAGGCCAAAAGTTAAAGTATCTTGAGAAATTCAGAGAAGGCTTCACTGTAGACTATTGTATAAATAATTCTTAATTTTTCAGCTGAAAAGATATCTAGACAAAAAATTTAGTATGCATTGATCTCAAATACAAATTAATTTTGTTTTGGGAAGGTAAGAGCTATATACAGCAACTTGATAGAATAATTTCAAAAACCCTGCAATAAAAGGTCCTTCATGGGTTTTTTAAAACCATAAAATACATAACTTTTAAATAAGCACTTAATGTAGAAGTGAAATGCAGAAATGATTGTTTAACAAGATATTTAAATTGAATGTTTGGGCATTTGAGAAAAGGATTCTCATAAGGGAAATTTGATATAAAAAGTTTTCCTCACTTTTTTTCCTCCATTCTCCGTTGCTTTTGGAATCCATTTTATACAAATGTGAATTTGGTTTCCTAAGTTACTTTGATCTTCCACAGGACACTTGCCTCCTTCATTAGGTATACTTATAAGGTGTTTGAAAATGTATCTGCCCGCTGCAATAAATCCAGACTGGATGCCACTGAACTGTGTGAACCTGAATCCCAGCAGTACCAAAGTTTTATTGATACATCATAATTGTTTATAGGGAATGACTTCATTCC